ACCTTGGCTGTCTGTGTGGGAGAGATTGGCTTAGTAAGTTTAGAAATTGTCCAGTGATTTTTAACCAGTCTTGAAGATAATATGATATTCAGAATTAAGTGAAGTAATTGCCAGATAAACCCAGGGTTTCCCTTACATAGGCGTAGCCGTGGCGGCCCTCAACGGCTGAAATCCCACCGCCACGCCTACAAGAACCCAAGTTTTTTTTTTTTTAATTAATTAAATTTTTTTTTTTGCGCCGTTTCCCGAAGAAGCAGCGGGAGCTACTATGTTGTCGCTTGTGTTCATAGCCAGCAGGCAGCAAGGAGGAGCAGGCAGGGCAGGGTGAAGTTACAGCATAAGTTACTGAGTTTAAAATTAGAAAGGTAGCAGTGGATATAATGCTTTTTGGTTTACATGTTTCAGCAGCATTGAGATAAACGAGTGTTGACGATCTTGACAGGGTTTCCTCCAGTGCTTATTAGGCCAGGCCCCCCCCCCCCCACACACACACACACACACCAGGATAAGCATCACTTATTCATGTAAAATTTATTTATTTTTTCATGTCTGACTTTAACCGCATCTAATACTGTATTACGGCGTGAGCGCAACAGTGACAACTTAAGATCGATGTGTGAGCAGCCTGAGAGGTCGGGTGTTTTCATCTGAACCCTTATAACCTCCAGCAGGCTACGCTGCACTATTGACGTGTTAGCACGCGGCGCTAACAACTTAGCAACGTGACATGTCTCGGAGAAAGCATAAAAACACGTTGAACGCTTCTTCTGAAGCGGGAAAATAACGCTTCTTCTTAAGCAGAGCACGACGTAGCCTCGGCTCGTTCACGGCCGAGCCGGACTGAGCTCGATAACATTGACCCAGCACAGCCACTGGGTCGTTGGAGCTGCCCCGTGACTGCCTGATGGAAAACCAGCGGGTTTCATCAGACTCGTAAAGTTTTTTGTTTTTGCTGGGGACCCTTACCGCTCCCTCCTGCAGTCTTCCCCTATTAAAATTTAAAATGATTCTGTAAATTCCGTGTATCAATAGAACAAATCTCTGCCAGCTGCAGTAAATGTAGTTTCCAAATAATAAATAAGAGGTGCATTCATCTGTGGATCTCATTTGATCTGCATTAGTGATATTCTCAGCACCAGAATAATGAAGCAAAGAAACAGATTCCTGAGTTTGTTAGTAATTTTATTTATTAGGTGCATCTAACCTGTTCTATTTTTCTCTGAAATGATATCAAATCAGTGCTTCTATGGGTTGTCTCCACTCCGCACTAGAAAATTTTACTTTATTTAGAGACGCGTCATAATTTCCCCCCGAGCCGATCTTGCACCCGAGCAGATCTTGTACCGACACCGGCCACACCACCACAGCTGGAAAAATTCCTAGGGGAAACACTGAAACCTTTATTATTTGAGTAATATTTTAATTAAGGCATATAGTTATTGTTTTATAGTAACTAAAAACAAGCCTCAAGTGGGACTAATTAACCTTTTTAAGCCGTTTAAGCATATTCTTCTGCTGAGATGTTTTCATCTCAGTTTGAAAATATTAGACTCCCAATAGAGCTCCCACTGTCAACACACCTAAAAAACCTGATTGGTAAGGCACAGTGCTTTCACGTGTTTTGAGTAGGGCTGGGCGATATGGCAAAAATAGAATATCACGATTTTTCCAATATTTTATCACGATTTCGATTTTATCACGATTTTTTATCCATGAATAGCATAACTTCAATTGCGTATTAAACAAGAGAAACATTGAATAAATAAACATTTATTCATATTAGGGATAATCAGCACAGTGCTAACACACTTATATTTTAAACTCACACCAGAGATGATAAAAGCCCTTAGAGAAACAATTACAAAAATCAGTTTTTCTCGTTTTTCAAGTAACTTAACATAAGTTAAAATCGTAAACATATTTAAAGTGCAAACATGTCAATTGCAAACGTATTGTGCAAATGTTAACTTGTTCAAAATACTATGTAGCTCCCAGTTGCTCATGTAGTGGATAGTTAAGCTCAAATACGGCTCTGATGTGCAGCTGGACCAGAGATCGCTTGTGGTAGCAAAAAACTGCGCATTCTGAATATTTTCTGCAACAAGTCTCTAAATAAAGTAAAAATTTCCAGTGCAGAGTGGAGACAACCCATAGAAGCTCTGATTTGATCTCATTTCAGAGAAAAATAGAACAGGTTAGATGCACCTAATAAATAAAATTACTAACAAACTCAGGATTCTTTCTTTGCTTCACTGTTCTGGTGCTGAAAATATCACTAATGCGGATCAAAGGAGATACACAGATGAATGCACCTCTTATTATTTGGAAACTACATTTACTGCAGCTGGCAGAGGCAGAGATTGTTTCTATTGATACACGGATTTACAGAATCATTTTAAATTGTAATAGGGGAAGACTGCAGGAGGGAGCGGTAAAATACAGGGGGTCCCCACCAAAAACAAGAAACTACGAGTCTGATGAAACCCGCTGGTTTTCCATCAGGCAGTCACGGGGCAGCTCCAACGACCCAGTGACCGAGCTCAGTCGGTACCGACACCGGCTCGGCAGAGGGTAAACGAGCCGAGGCGGCGTCGTGCTCTGCTTAAGAAGCGGTGTTATTTTCCTGCTTCAGAAGAAGCGTCCAACGTGTTTTTACGCTTTCTCCTAGACATTCCACGTCACTAAGTTGTTAGCGCCGCGCGCTAAGGAAACCCTGCGTTCCTCTTCGGAACGAAAACCTCTTTGTCGCTCTCAGCCGCGGCGAAGCCATGTTTGTTCACACACAAATGAAAACAAGCGGGGCACTAACATATTACTATGACTCACTCTGATTGGTTAAGGGTCAAACAAAGGCGTGTCATTCGCCTGAGGTAAGTTCCCTTTTCATTCAGAGGCAGAAATTCAACAGCAGAGCTGTGAATCGTGATAAAACGGTCTCTCAAAAATGACAGACCGTCAGATGTGTAGATCGTAAAACGGTCTAAAATCGTCATATCGCCCAGCCCTAGTTTTGAGTTTCTTTTATCTCAGAATATAACCAGCAGCCAGTTGGGTTTCCAGTGTAAACTAAGTTGTAAGTGTTCTAGATAGGAAGGTAAGTGAATCAGCATTGTGGCTCTGAAAGCCCAGAACCCGCTGAACGGACTCCCTTCTGATTTAACTGATCCTTCAGTTGTCTGTTTAGAACAAGTTCATTTTAGTGGAACTGCAGTCACTGACGAGTTAAGATGCTATTTATACTATTTAAGATGTTTTGTTTGACTATGAATTGAAGGACTAAACTCATATCATTGGAATTAAAACTAAAACATTTAGCAGTATCAGGGTGTGGATTGGTTTCTCCGATACTGTCATTAAATGCTGCAGAGCATTCTCATCGAGTTAGTTTGGTTATTTCTTTGGCAATGTATTCTTTATGTATGATTTTTTATATAGTTATATTTTCTTCTAACTCATTCACTGCCAGCCGTTTCCTGTTCAGAAAAGCCCTTCGCTTCTAGCGTTTTTTACAGTTTTTTTAAGTCACAGAACGTTATGCGCTAGGATGATGTCGACGCCTAAACTAACAAAACAAAGAGTAGACTCACCTCTTATATCAGGAAGAATTCACGCGTTCGAGCATTATCCGTTGTTTCATAATCCGTTGTTGAATTGTGATCGTTAGAAGCTTTCCCGGTTCGCGCCTCACTTTTTTTTTTTTACAGCAGCGGCCCAAAACGATCTAACACATGGATTTTCTGCTTCCTGATCACATGACGTATGCGGATGAAGATCGGCTTTAGAGCTGGGATGTTTGTTTTCACGGTGCGGTGGCTCGTTCTGACGCCCACACAGAAAAAAAAATGCAGTTTCAAATTGGCAGTGAATGGTTGGATTCAAAATGACTACCTTTGTCGTCAATGGCAGTTAATGAGTTAATACTTAATAACAATATGAAAGAATTTTACAATGAAGTTATCACAAAACAGTCTTGTCATTTTGAATGTAAGGTGGAAAAAGGCTATAAGCTAACATTGAGCTAATAATGCAAATGGTGAATTGGAAGCAAATAGTTGGCTCAAAAAACAATCTCAAGCTGCTTTCAATTACCAACAACTCGACATTACAATGAAATGCATGTGTGAAGTGAATGAGTTAATTGTGGCGTTTTACTTCCATTTAATGAGTTGTTCAAAACTATAACGGCAAGCTAATAGCAAGACGGTAGAAATATTTTTAACCATTTGTTGAAAGTGATGGACACCACAAGCTTGTGAATGGTCATGATGCAGTTTTCTTTAAATTCCTCAACAGCTCCGCCATTGCACCCTCAAAAATAAAGCGAGCCAAAGATATTTTGCGGCATACATAGGGCACATTGAACGCCTCATGGAAAAAGTCAGAAAATATGAACATTTATTTACCCATTACCTAGGAGTACAAAGATACACCGCCAACATTCTATTCATGGATGGAGGTGATAAGAAATATGGGTTTAGAGGTGACAACACATGCGTGCACAAAACCTCAACAACATCTGAAACAAGCATTAATATACATCACAAACATATGAACAATCGCTGACTTTTCCATGAAATCATAAACACATACAGCCACACAGAAAACCATCTATAGTGTTACATGGTTAGCTAATGTTGGTGTTAGCATTTCCAGTGGCAAAACCCTCGACTGCTGCGGCGGTTGAGGGTTGACTATCTTCATCCAGATCCGTAGGTTTTTGTGGGTCTGAGATCCCTTCCAAAGATTCATTCGTTTCTGACTGAACCTGTGGAAATTTGGGCAACAAAAACCGCCCCATTTTACCACTAGCTCTACCTTTCACTTGTTCACAGGTGGAAAATGAGGTCAAAGGTTAACATAAATTTCCTGTTTTGATTTAAGTTTTTACTATCTATATGATAATTTACTGATTTTATTTTTTTGTATGTTAAATATTATCACATCCACACGTTAAATAAAAATTTAATTGTAAAAAAAAAATCTAAAATTTACTTGGGGGTGCTATGGGGGTGCAATGACTAATCCAGGGGTAGCTATAGCGCCCCTCTGGCACCACCACTGCAGGCAATTGCTTTGCAGCACTCCAGGTGGCAGAGAACAAGAACTTCTCCGTCTCCATTAATGTGTGCGCGCGATTCCAAACTAGAGTTGACAAGAGTATAAATCAGGTTCAAGTCACCTCCCCTTAAGGTTGGCTCTTGGGTCCCTAGAACAACAACAACAACAAAAAAGAATACAAGGGAAAGGAGCTATAAAATCATTTTTTTATCCACTTAACCTTAAGCCCTGAATCGCACATGTGTTGTACTTTAATTTAAATTAAAAAGGAATTCTGTGTTTAAACTGTCGCATAAGTAGAGATTTATTAGCTTGTAAAAACTCGTAATTAAAATGACTACAAATCCAGCGCTGCATATATGACCTCACAGCAGAATATCTTCAACCTCCAGCTTAACTTGCCACATGGCCAGATTTATAGTGGTTTTCTCCACGTTCAATGCTCCTGTCGTCTTGGGAGAAGGATTCGAAGCTTGCTAAACTAAGCCATTTTTCTTCTCTTCTTATCCTTGTCTGGTTCTATGACGTCAGTTTGGTGAGATGAGCATTTTTATTCCATTACATCTTTTCACAAAAAACCTAAAATAAGTTTTTCCACCTGTTGAAAATGAGCATTTTCTTGAAGTCAAAACGTGTTTTTAAATTGTCATTTAAATTCATCATATGTGAAATACATGGCGCCTATCAAATGGGGTCAGACAATAACTTTTATGAGCTCATGAACTCCCATCCATATTTTTATTATTTTTGCGGCAGGTGGGCCCATGGTCTGGAAGTAGGTGGACGTGACTTTAGCTTCAGATAAAGTGCTTTGTTTGTAGCAAAGCCTTGTGGGTAATGACATCAGAATATTGAAACGGCTCTGGTTTCTGAAATGTCTTACTGAATGTGTGGTGAGTGGTTAGTACAACGATGATTACAAATCCCACTTTAAATACAAAGTTTACTGATGAGTGGATTAACTGATCTCTGACTAGGTAATTAAGCCAAGAAATAAGGCTAAAAAAGGTCAGTTGCACACATTTGCTAAACCCATCTGTCTGTCTTGCACCTATTTATCAGCCACATTTAGTGTAGTTCAGCTAGTCTACAAAAAAATTAAAAGAAAGCAGTCTTCATAGGTTATTCTTCAAACAGAAAAGGTGAAGTGTACAGACTTTTTTTGCCCAGCTGTTTTTGTGCATCATTTATCAGACCTAAAAGTTACCCACATCACAGCTGAGCTTCAGACGGCAAGTTTTAGAGTCCTATTTCCTGATATTTGGATATCTCGCCCTGGATTGGATAACAGCAACGTTGACGTTTTATCTCCACAAATGACACAAGCCTAGAGGGCTTCTGCAGTGTGGTGGTGTTGCTAATGCTAACAGTTAGCTTAAACTAGTGGAGACATCCTCTACTGATTCCCAGACGTTAAAACAACCATTCAAGTCATAAGTCAAGAAGGGTGAGTCCATGAATGCTAAATCAGTGTGATGTAGATCAGTCAGGTTTTTCAAATCCTTGCATTTCAGTGTCTATTTTCGATCAGAAGCTAAAACAGGAGATAGGTGTAGGAAACTATTTTTATGTTCGGCCTGCATGGAAAACTGAGTGACCAATATTAATTGGAAAAAACATTAAAAATGTCTGAATCAAAATATGGAAAAAGGAAATAGCTACATACTCTTAATTTCTGCAGAAAATAGAGAAGCTTAACACTTAGTCTCTATCACAGTTGGTGTCACACATTACATTGTGGTGTGATGTTGCAAAACTATAGAGCTGACAGGCCTTGGCTAGCTTCTGCGTTTACCGCATGCCAAAGTGAGCCAAATTATGGCAATGATGTTCCTGTCACACTAAAGCAGTTTTTTGGGTTTACTGTAGAAACGTAGTTCACTTGTCAATCCATGAATATCAGAACCAAGAGTAGACCTATTGCAACAAGGACCACACCTTTTTCATTTCAGTTAGCAGTAGCACACAAGGGCAATGGACAAATGTATCGGTGAATAAATTTCAAAACAAATTAGCATCTCTTTATAAACTTGTCTTTTGTTTTGTCAAGTAAAATGTATGTAAAGAAGCAAAATTTTGCTCTCTACTTTCCAACCATAAAACCTCGATATATTTTGAAGTTATTTTGACCAATATGCAAAGCAACCACTACTATTTGTCCCATGCATCAAATAAAGGCAACCAACATAAAATACCTTAGATCTAAACATGTAAAACCTAAAATCAGGTGAATCAAGCAGACGCTTTGCAGGTTAGGGTTGAGTCTGGCTGTTGGAGGCGAGTGGAAGGATAGTAACTCAAGTGGGTTCGGTGTCATGGGCTGTGCTCCAAATCTGAGACCCCTCCTAAACTGCTTCACATGTTGTCCCACCAGCTGACCAGAGGCATGTTTGAGAGTAGGAGCATACTCACAAGCTGTTTCTCTTAAAACAGGACTACATTATTCCTGGAATATCTTCATTATAGTGCTTTTATCTTTTAACACAATCTGACACTTCAATCTCTCGGTGAGTAAGCATGTTTGAGGTCATTTTACATGATTCAATACTGCTGTTCAGAACAAAAGATTAATCAGGGTGAACTTGTCATTTTAATGCAGACTACACAAACACAACAGTCATTTCATGGAGGTACTTGGTTTAAAATTTTAATGACACTATGTGAAATGTATTAAAAGGGTTGTATTGCATTATTCTACATAAGATGAAACTAAAAGGTCTGAATAAGTGTTTCGTTTTAATTTATTTTTGTGTTGCTGAATTATGAGTCACAGATCTAACATGAAGGTTGTGCTGTCACAGAGCCATGGTGGTGTTACTATTAATAACCCCTCTGGCTGGTGGTACATGGCTCTCAGAGGGCAGCAGTAGTCTCTTACTGCACTGAAAAGCAATACTAAGTAATGCTCAGCATCAATTGTTGTTTATATAACTTAAATGTCCAAGGTGTTCTACAGAACTATAGGTAAAAAAAATTATCGATATTTCAAGTTTTACTAGAAGCAAAAATCACTCAAGTGACTGCTTGTGTGTCAGTTCATTTAACATTCTTAAATGTCGACCCACTGTTAGTATGACATTTGAAGATATTTTCTATTGTCTGGCTTGTGCTGCTTTCAGGTTTAAGGAAGTCCACAAAGAAGCGCAGCGAGTCTCCTCCAGCAGAGCTCCCCAGTTTTCGGCGGAGCACACGCCAGAAGACCACGGGCTCCTGTGCCAGCACCAGGTAAGGGCGGTTGCAATGATTTTGTTTCAGTGTAGGTCAGAGGTCGGTGTCAAATTGACCTAATGTCCACATTAAAAAAAAACATTTACTTTATGCTCAAAAGTAAATTAAACCCAAATTGAAGATGGTAAACCACAGTAAAGTAAAAGAAAAATAACTTTTATAAGAGCTGGCAAGCAAGATTTATTGCAATACCAAAAACTGACTTAAACTACATCTTGTGCATTCAATAGCTAGAATATTTATTAGAAAACAACTTTTTAGTTGCTATGACACCAAATTTACAGATACACCATCTTCTTTCAGAAATCAAACTTCTCATATAAAACTATTTAAATCCTTTATATGTGGTAATTTTGATAATCATGGCATAGATGTAAGGAAGCCCATGATGTTGTTTCTCAAAAACTACAATATTACCTAAGGTCAAAAAAGGATGTTTTAAACAGAAATGTCTGAAAAATGTTTATTTCTATGCAACAATGGTAAATGGCCTGTATTTGTAAAGCACCTTCTTAGGGTTCCACAACCCCCCAAGGCGCTTCACAACGCAATCAGTCATTCACCCATTCACACACGCATTCACACTCTGGTAGGGATGAGCTACAATGTAACCACAGCTGCCCAGGGGCGCACTGAAAGAACACTGGCGCCACCGGTCCCTCTGACCACCACCAGCAGGCAAGGCGGGTTAGGCGTCTTGCCCAAGGACACAACGGCGTATTCTCTGGTGGGAGCCGAGATCAAACCTGCAATCTTCCAATTACTGGACAACCCACTCTAGATCCTGAGCTGCTGCTGTCCCAATACTTGGTTGGACCTCCTTTTGCATGAATTCCTGCTTCAGTGCAGTGTGACATGGGGGTAATCAGCCTGCAGTTTTGCTGAGGTTTAATAGAAGCCCAGTTTTGTCAGATTGCTGATTTCAGCCCATGTACATTGTTGGGTCTGGTTTCTCATTTTCCTCTTGGCTATATCTCATAGATTCTCTGAGGGGTCCCTCATGTCATCAGGACAGTTTTCTAGCCAATTAAAGCCAGGGTCATTCAACCAGCTTTGGATACCTTTGAGAGTGTGAGTAGGTGCCAAGTCCTGCTCGAAAATGAAATTGGCATCTCCATAAAACTTGTCAGCCGAAGGAAGCATGAAGAGGTTTAGAGTCCTGTTGGACTGTGGACATGAGAAACCAGCGGACCAAAACTAGCAATAACATGGCACCAGATTAGAACAGTGAGAGCTTCACCTGGAGCTCATTTCTTCCTCCAAACTGTCGTACCTTGATTCCAAATAGGGTTGTCACGGTGTGAAAATTTAACCTCACGGTTATTGTGATCAAAATTATCACGGTTTTCGGTATTATCGCGGTATTTTTTTTAAACATGTTAAATTTTCAGGAAACTAAATAAACCCTGTATATCAGGAAATATTGTCCTCAGTTTGTGTCTAAATTTTGCCTAAAATGTGTTATTTTGTAATTATGTTGTTTATTTGTTTACATTTTTCCCCTTTTAGTCTTTAAAATACCAATATTTGCCCATAACTTCTTATTTTTTGTCTGTGTGATGTCATCATTTAAAAAATATTAGATCAGATGATACTCAGTACTCAAGTAGCCTTCTAATCAGATACTTTTTTTTACCCTTACTTGAGTAATAAACCCTATAACAGGAAAATATTGTCCTCGGTTTGTGTCCTTCCAGTGAGCTTTGCAGATTTGGGAAAATGTCGTCAGGCAGTAATCATTGTTAACTTCATAATTATTTTCGGAGAGAGACCAACTTATCTGCCCCTGGGAGCCCCGTAATGCATAGCGTCATTTCAACATGGGGGTGTCCACGACATGGTTTATATGCAGGTAGCGGTGCTGCGGCTGCTTTATATAGCGAGTAGTTGCATTCTCCCTCAACCCAAATCCTCGGATCACGCATTTTAGCTAAAATGCTAACGTTAGCTTGCCTTGCGTTGACTGTAGAGTGGTGGGTGATGGTCACGCAGATGTGTCATGGGATATGAAGCGTTGCTGCCTTTCACAGACACTTTTTTCTGCACGTGCTGCAAACAGGACAGCGTCTTCTATCAACTGTCCCTCTGCATTCTTCAAATATCCAAAAGATGCCCGTACTTCCCACTTTGTCTTCTTTGAGGGATCATAAATGTCCTGAGCGCTGCAGTCTCCTCCTTTGGCCATTATTTCAGCTTTAGCTTCAAGAAAGTTTTGGCTGTAAACAACAAAGTGCGCATGTGCCGCCGGCAACTTCAGCAGATGATACGGTGGCTGGTAAGGGTCACTGCGCCTACACCACAGCCACGGTAATCCACCGAGATAATATAGTTTTAAAAAACAAGATGGTTATTGTCTACTTTTTTACCGGGGTTTACTGCTACACTGATTACCGTGACAACCCAACTTTTATTTATATATATGTGTGTGAGTGTATGTGGTTTATTTTTTTGAGGGCACAATGATGGTGGTGTTGTCGAATTTAAAGGAAACGGTGCCTAACCAATCACAAGCTTGTGCTCTCCGTCTTGTTGGACAGATGTTTAGAAAAGTAGGCCTGACTCAGTCCGTTCTTGCGAACCTGCTGGAGAGCCCTCGTAATGACTTTTAGTGGCGTTGCGTGTCTGCACCAACACAGAAGCATAAACTAGACTTGAGAAACCGGATGGGGTAGAGTCCTGTGTCTGTTGTCTCGTTCGTGACTCTACCCCATCTAGTTTGTAGCACAGTTTATGGGCAGCAGCAGCTCAGGAGGTAGAGCGAGTTGTCCAGTAATCGGAAGGTTGCAGGTCTGATCCCGGCTCTGGACAGCGAATTCTGCTGTTGTGTCCTTGGGCAAGACTCTTAACCCACCTTGTCTCCTGGTGGTGGTCGGAGGGACCGGTGGCACTTGTGCTCGGCAGCCTCACCTCAGTCAGCTCGCCCCAGGACGGATTTACTTTCAAATCTATTGCTGGCAAACTCAGGTCAAAAACATAGTTGCTTATTCCATTTTGCCATTTCTACATATAGAGTGGTGGGGAAAAAAACCATGAAACACATGAAAAGACAAGACAGCTTTAATTTTAAAGCACATTTCGTAGACAAAGGCAACAAAGTGTGCTTTACAGCCATGTGAAAATACTACATGAATAGTGCTACTAAATGAAAATTATCTACATAAATCACAATGTTTGATTTACTGATGATGAAGACTGCTGCTGGTGTTTTGTTTTCACTCATTAAAGTACATCCTGTTTTTCCATGTAACAGTCGGCGGGGCTCAGGCCTGGGCAAGCGCGGGGCAGCCGACGCTCGCCGACAGGAAAAAATGGCTGACTCCGACAACAACCAAGATGGGGCCAACTCGTCTACTGCTCGAACTGATGAAGCATCGCAAGGAGCTTCAGGTACCTCCCAACATTTGGTTGTTCTCTCATGCATGGCCTGCACAAAAACTCCAAAGGTCTTTCTCGTAGTGGTGCTGGAATTTCTGCAGTGATGCAGCGTAGGGATGAGTAAAGAATTCGGTACTTTTTAAGGCACTCCATAGTACCGACTGAGTACCGATTCATGTCATATTAACACTAGAACTTCCAGAATTCTAACTTCACTAGAACTCCCAGGAACCGCCAGTTTGGCGGCTGTCCATTAAATGCAGGCTGACGATGACGTTTTGGAGCAAAATGGTTCAAATGCGTCAACTCTTTATGGGTGTGTGAACCTAATGTTAAGCAAATATAATTTTAGTCTAAACCTTGAAAAGAAGTCTCTTTATTGTACGCTGGGTGACCGACACAAATCTTCTTCGTGGCCAAGGGGTCCCAGATCGTCTTCTGTGTTGCTGTCAGAGTCTCTGCCGCTTACTGACCAGTAATCATCAGCGTTCTCCTCTCCGTCTGAAGCAGATTCATTTCTCATGCTTGTTTCACTGAGAATGTTCTTCTAAAAGCTGTTTCAGCTGCTATTTCACATGCAGTTTGAACGGAGAGGGAGCGCGCGCGCGAGAGCTAGAAAGTTGGTTGCTTAGCAACAGCGACGTTGTCCGTTATCTGCGGGAAAACGTTACCATGTTAACAATAGAGCCATCAAATTGACAGCTTGTGGGAGACAAAGACAAAAACAGCTATTTCTTTTTTGATACATTATTTTATGGAAATTATAAAGTAAAATTAAATGACACATAAACATAGGAGAAGTCAGGACAACATGAGATCATCTAACTAAAGTTATTACATATCAAAATATGAAAACAGTCAAAATGACCACTTTGGGTGTTCTAGTGTTAAACTGTGCCTTTTTTCGGTACTCGCGCCGGCGCAAAATCGTAAAGTCGTCAGTCACTGTGGGCGAGCTGTAAACAAAACAGCATGGCAGAGAGGAAGCGTTCTGAAGTTTGAGTCCACTAAATGGGATGGGTAACTGGGTGATGATAAAACCAGCAACAACGATCTAGGTGTGGCATCATCATCTTAATCTGCTCCGGTAGGTAAATAAAATGTTTAAGACAGCATTAGCTTGATATGTTAGCTTCCGTTCAGCTAATGGTGCATTCCCTTTCTCCTCGGAACTCCGAAATTCCGACTAGAAGAAAGCGAACACACTCTAACGTTTGGCTTCACTTCACACAAATGTGATGGGCTGTTGGGTGATGATGAAACCAGTGACAACAATCTGAATATGAGGCATCTTAATCTGGTCCAGCAGCAAAATAAACTGTTTAAGATAACGTTAGCTTGATAGTTTAGCTTTTGTTTACATAGCTAATTGTGCATTCATGTTCTACTCGGAAATTCCAACTTCCAAGTAGGAAAAATAAGCAGTTTGAAAATGAACGGCAAAAGGAGTGAAGATACACAGTAAATTTAGTTCACAGCAAGGAAGTTTGCTTCAGTGTCATTTTCAGTTTAAAAACTACAAAGACCCACCATCACACAGTTTGTCCAGAGGGGAAAGGAGAGGGAAAGGAGTACGTGGAGCTGGGTTTAGTTTGTGAATCACCACAATATTAATATATGAACAGTTGTATCGAAGTTTGCTTTAGTTTCATCTGTAGTTTATAATACATCGTCTCTTCATCATTGTTATTCCAGAGGGCATAGAAGAGGATTAGGAGTGCATGGAGCTGAGTTTGTTTTTGCATCATTTAGAAACAGTTGTTAAAGGTTTTCAAATTAAAGAATTTTGTACACTACGATGCTAACGCACAAGCAGTTGTATGTAATTTATCATGATATTGATCAAATATGGTTATATATTGGGGAAGAATATATATATTTAATTAAAATGTAATTAAAACAATTATTAAACACTCAAAAGTATTGAAAATTGTTACCGTTAAGTACCGGTATTGATTCATAGGTACCGGTAATTGGTACCATATCGATTGAAATGTCAGAGGTACCCATCCCTAGCGCAGCGCCACGCCTGAGCCTATGTAGGGGAAACACTGCAGAATGTCCCTAACACCACCATTTTACAGCTGAGTTTCTGTGGAGCATACAGGCTACTTTACACTGTTTACTGATCACCTCGTGCTATTTGAGTAAAAATCGTACCATGGGTTCCCCCTGCGCCTATGAGGGGTGCACCCACTTTCTTTCGTGGAGCTAGCATGGAAACAAAACTACACTCAGAAAGGCTGACTCGAACCACGCTGTACAGAGCTGTTTAAGCCCGGGTAGTGCTCCTCGAAAACCACCTTTTGAGTATCCGTTGATACCGAGTCCTGATGCAATGCATTTCAGGAAAGCATTAAAATAGGAAGAAAACACACCCAAGTTGTCCTTTAAGTTTCACTATCACTTGTTTGGGAAGTACACCGATTAAAATAAAACATGTTTATATTATCAAAACATTGAAAATTGGCAGAGTTGCTCTTAAAATAATTTACTCCCTCAATATGCAGATGTGTTCCCGTGAGGGAGCAGGCACGCGGTGCCTCAGCGGACAGGCTATCTTGTTAGCAGTTTCTCTTTGTTTATTAGCGCATCTTTCTCTGTTGGCTGGCTTCACGTTTTATGAACTGAGACTGTTGGTGGCAAACAGGAAATTAATGGGGACTGGTAATTTGCTGTGTTGACGCCTGAAGGGAGAAACCAAAAGTGAAAGTAGTTTGTTTGAAGGAACCACGTTAGCTCTGCGTTAACCTGCTAGCTAACAGTCGCATCGTTGCATCTGAATCACTGCTTGCCATAAATTGTGACTTTACTGTGTTTTCTTTCAAGAAACAGGTAATATTGAACAGAGGAACTTGTTGAAATTAAAGTTAAGCCGTTGTTATTCCATTTGAAAATCTCTATCCTCGAATTAATTAAAAATGTCGTGTTTAAAATGTTTTAATGCTAATCTTTTTGTCCCGATCCTTTTAAAATAACAGTATTGAAAATCGAGCCCAGTCACGGGATTTTTAAAGGATCGTGAGAAATTGGATCGGTGCATCTGTAGTTTTAAACAATTTAGATCAAGAAATTGTGTTCTTCATCCACATGAAAGGCTATTATTGAACCTTGTTAAACCTTTCATGGACATTTTATCCTAAATTTATGTCCAGCTTCAAGCTCAGTTGCTGGAGCCGCTGGCATGACGACCTCAGGAGAGAGTGAGTCAGACGATTCTGAAATGGGAAGGCTTCAAGGTGTGTTTGAACTTTTTATTCTGTGTAAACAAAACATAGCATTTAAAGACTTGCTTAACAAGTTTACGTCCTTAAGCTAATTATCTTTATTTCATCCATAGCACTACTGGAGGCCAGAGGTCTACCCCCACATCTGTTTGGGCCCCTGGGTCCCCGTATGTCACAACTTTTTCACAGGACCATTGGAAGTGGAGCTAGTGAGTATTAGTCTTAACACAATAAAAAAAAAATCTCTCTTACTGAATCAATCATACCCTTGTTTTCAGGCTCCAAGGCTCAGCAGCTGCTGCAGGGCCTTCAGGCCACTGGTGATGAGTCTCAGCAGCTCCAAGCTGCTATAGAGATGTGTCAGTTACTGGTGATGGGCAATGAGGAAACACTGGGTGGATTTCCTGTCAAGAGCGTGGTACCTGCTTTGGTAAGTCTCATTCCCATTGGTGTTTAATCCCTAAGTGTGCAGCTCTATCACACCAATCCACTCATTTGCTTAGTATAACATCTTTAACATCCTGTTATGAAAATGTATTCATCTTAGCAAAAAGAAAATGCAAATTTATCATTAAAGGGACTTTACGGAGTTTTGAATTTTTCTGCTCGCGATTGCCCCCTCAGGCCAAAAGCATAACGGCAGCTTCAATAGTAGGCTCGTGCACGAGGCGCGCATGCTGTACGTGCACACTCCTTAACGAAAATAACAGCTGAGACAGTCCTGTGTGTGTGTGTGGCCCGGAGGACAGGAGAACGCGCAGCTAATTAATGAGATAATTTGGTTTTGTACCTTTCTCTTCAGCACAGCAGACAAAGGTTTAAGATGGGTCAGTCCTCCTGCATGTTCAGATCATTCCCTTCCCTTGCTTGAAAAATTGTTCCAAAATGAAAGTTGAACCCACATCTTTTTTATCTGTGAATTCAATGCCGTTCGGCGAGTCTCAAATAAAAATTTGGGCGTCTTACTGTAAAAAAATATACCATTAATGTAAAAAATTAATTCTACATAAACTATGTTCACACCCAGTATCGAACCCGGGTCTTCCGCACGGGAGTCCGCCGTCTTATTGAGTGAGCTATAGGACGAGTAACGTTTTTTTGTATCTGTAATGTTTATATCCTTGATGACAGCTGAAACAACGTTCAAAGAACGGTTCGGAGCGAAAATGGCAATTTTGTTGCTAATTTGCAGGAAATATCTAGAAGAAAGTAGCTAAGGGTCCTCATAAATGTAGCTAGGATCATCACTAGGCGTTAGGAACAGCGACAAAGTCGCTGAGTTGGCACTGCCTCACTGTCTGCTGCTAAAGCTACTGATAGCAAATGCTACGGGCTATGCCTGAGCGTGAACGCGCATGAAGCAGCCTGCTCGACCCGAGCAGCTCTCTTTTTCTGTGATTTTACAGAAAAACAGGCAATCACAGTAAAAATGCCAGGGCTCATTCTACAGGACCAGGACATTGTAGGAGAATGTATGAAGAAGAAATTTATTATTTCTATACATGTTTTGGCTGTCAAACTTCCATAACGCCTCTTTAAAGTTTAATACTTTTAACTTTGACAGATCACACTGTTACAGATGGAGCATAACTTTGAAATTGTGAGTACAAAACCTTTGTCAGTGTAAATGAAGGATTTGTAACTCTTTTTTTAAATGATGAAACTGATCCTACTCATGCCTTCCTCTCTGGACACAGATGAACCATGCTTCACGAGCCCTCACGTACATGATGGAGGCCCTTCCTCGATCTTCTGCCGTGGTTGTTGATGCTATTCCTGTCTTCCTGGAAAAAGTAAATTTGCAACACAGTCCATCAACACTTTATAGTTTTATACTTTTTCACACTAACGGTTTGTACCGCCTTCTTGCCTGTAGCTTCAGGTGATCCAGTTCATTGATGTAGCAGAGCAGGCCTTGACTGCTTTGGAAATGCTGTCAAGACGACACAGCAAAGCCATTTTGCAGGCTGTAAGTGTTTTTTACCGCTGTAGTATATCTCTTGAACCAGTTCTCCCTCTGACCACTAACTCAAACCATGTCACCTCTCAGGGTGGTATAGCAGACTGCCTGGTCTATCTGGAGTTCTTTAGCATCAACGCTCAGAGGAATGCCCTGGCCATCGCAGCCAACTGCTGCCAGAGCATCACCCCAGATGAGTTCCACTTTGTTGATGATTCTCTTTCACTGCTGACTCAGAGACTCACACACCAAGTAAGTGTTTGTATATTAAATTAATGAGAACTATTAATTAGAAACAAGGGTCTACAATTATTTAGGGATGTCCCGTTCCAATATTGATATTGGCCCAAAAATACTATTGGATTATATCGGACTGCATCATAAATCTCTGATATAAGCTGTCTGTTTAGCTTTAAATTTCATTCCAGCAGCACCCAGATCCAGTATGCAAATCCCATTTGATCAGAACAGTGCATGCTAGCAAAGCAGCAAGGAGCAATGTCAGCTGTGTGACAGTATTTTTTGTTAGTCTATACAACGGTGTGGCTCAGTGCAACATTTGCCATGCACAAGTTTCCCGTGGTGGAACAGAACCAGGAAAGTTTAATACGTCCAACCTCAATGTGGTTTGAAGCAGCATCACAGAACACTGCATGAGGATTTTCACAGTGTATGAAATGGAAACTTAGGACACTCGACTTGTAGCAGTTGGTAAATGGACAATATTGTGTTTATTTTATTAATTAATTTATTCATTTATTTATTTTTATGTCCCTGCCCTCAGCTGTTCGTATTTGCTGACAGTAAACCATAACTAAAGCGACCTTGAATTAGTATTTCATACTTTAAAAAGGTCTCTTTTGCTTATTTGTTTACTTAAAATATTTTTCGGTCTTTTAATTGATTATTTATTTTTTTATTCGTTATTTTGATTCATTCTTTCTAAGTGTGGTATAATTATTGTTGCCTATGTTAGATCGGTTTATAAGCTATATTTGTATGTAAGCTTGGGCACATGCACAAACGTTAATCAATAATTTGTGTTGAAGTACCTTAAGTTGGAAAAACATTTAGAAGAACTGTTGACCCTCTGGGGTCCAGGGTGTAATTTGCCATTTTTGACTAATTTAGAGTTTTCTTTTGTATTTCCAAAACAAAAACATAACCACTGCCTTATGTGGTATCAATCTTTTCAGCACAACCTGGACTTTATGAATTTATACTTATTTTTTATATTTGGACCTAAAGGGGTTGCATATTAGACCTTAAATCACTCAAAAACATATAATCTGAATTGGAAAAAAGTTGTTCATTTTACTGTGAAACCAACTAACATGTATGACAAATGTTTTTTATAATTTAGAATGGTAATCTAGACTATACATTTATAAAAAATATGACTAAATATAGCAAATAACAATAAAAAAAAAAATGATTAGCCCTCTAGGGTCCAGGGTGTAAATCACTGTTTTTGACTCATTTTGGTTTTTCTTTTGTATTTTCTAATAAAAACAATAAATATTGCCTTATGGGGTATCATTTTTTTCAGGACAACCTGGACTATCTGAATTTATACTTATTTTATTAATTTGGCAATAATGTACATGCATTTTGGTAGGGCTGCACGATATTAGGAAAACCTGCGGTATTCGATAACGGTGCTTAATATTGCGATATCGATATTACTCGCGATAAATGAACAAATACTAAAGTATTCTGTGTTGATGTCGTCTGGCGTGTGACGTCTGCTCTGGGTTCAAAGCAAACAAAAACTAATGCATGAATTCCATTACAACATAATATTTTTATTGCAAAAATATGCAGCTGCACCTGCTACTGTATTAGCAGCAAAACAACAAACTGCATGCATGCAGTTTCTCAGTGACTTTAAAACATCACCTCCACCATAAAGCTTTTTCTGATGCTCCAAATACAGAAAAACATCCCTTACCAGGGTTTTTGGAATAAAAAAAATCTGAAAATAAGTTTAAATGTTAAATAATAGTTAACATCACTTAAATGCAACAGCAAATTCTCTCATTGCTACTGAACATTTTCTCCACTTATGTGGTTATGTTATAAGGCTGTTGCTGTAATTGGGAAGTGAACTGTGCTGGGCCAAACTAGGAGAGTATTGAGATTTTCTGAGGGAAAGAGAAAAACAATTGTCTACCTTTCAGAAGAGGAACTGGCAAAAAACTACGTTTGTTTTTAACCCCAAATTGAACAAGTTTACCTAGATCTTAAAAAGCAGCTCAGATGATGAAACTGCAACTATGATTCTGATAACAAGCACAAATTGAACTAGCTCCTCTTAAGATAACCGGCTAGCAGAGCTTCTGACTGACAGTTTATGTGCAGCAGCAAATCAACTATCCTGATTAACAAGGTTACAAAAGCTCATAAATGAAAAATCACTTTGATGTGTGGGGGAACTTTTCCAGGCCCTCTTTAGCAGGGTGGGACTGGGAGGAGAGTGCTGTAGCCTTTTAGCTGGAAGCTAACCGGAGCCTGGGGCTAACATTAGCGACATGAAGGTGGGTTGGTTCACCGGCACATGTCGGAGTCAGCCCGGTAAAAATGATTAACGACACCGAGCGGAGCCACGTTCACGTTTGAAGGCAGCGCTGATTCCATAAACCTCAGCACAAAGTGCGTTCGTTAATCTGAGCCAGCATGACGAACAAGGGAACAGCGCCGCTAACTCTGTTCGGGTGTTGCTTTCCTAAAGGGTCTATGTAGGGGGCGGGCGTATTACGTGAACGGGACCATCTGATTGGCCGCATATCAGAAGGACTACATTTGATCGGTCAAATAATACTTCCGCATAAAAAACAGAGCTGGTTTACAAAAAGCTGATGTATGACACGGATGGAAATGTTTGAACCAAACATTTATCGCTGTTTTTGCCGTGTTTTGCGATGGGCCTATCGCACGTCCTGTTATCGCGATGACGATAATTTTTCTATATATTGTGCAGCCCTACATTTTGGAGTGGTTAGTGGCGCTGTCTCACGCCGCGGAGTCGAGATCTGACAGTTGCGCGGCGCCGCCCACTCTTGTTGGATCTCCGAGGAGCTGGATCTCTGCCTTCATCCTCTACCTCATCATGACCCAACTCTTGTATGAGGAAGGATGGATCTGCAGTATCGTCATCAACATCCTGTTTGCCTCAGACTCCGGCTTGAGTCTCCGTCCACTTCCTCTGCTTCCAGTTCAAAAAACAGCCGTGCTATCTGAACTGCCTGGTGGACATTTATCCTTCTCATCATCCTTTATATAAGCCTAATAAAAGCCTACTAAACTGCAGAGACAACATATCTGTCCGGATCGCTCCAAAATATGAAGTTTACCATCAATATCTGTCTAATTGTTTGTTGTTACTCAGTTCGCGCCACTCCTTTCCCCGTGAAGCGGCTCCTTTTTGCGCACATCTCGTTACTCGCACAGCCTTCCTCTTGCTCTCAGCTACATAATGATACTTTTTATCAATTGAATATGTGAGACTTCTACCAACAGCAAAAGGATCTCATGTTTTTGTGAGTTTTTTATGTTCACAAGCACATTCCCTCTCACGGATTACTAAACTGCTGTTTTGACAAGTTAACATATTGTCTAAAAATAGGTCGTTTTTTAGTTTCGGATAACTCCGCTTTTACGTTGCCTATTAACAAAATTTAAAAACTGGGGTGTAGTTTATAATCTCCTTTTTAAAGCTGAATTGAAACCGAAACTCAGGGAGGCAGAGTCTTGCTGCTACAACGTCCCAGCGTCAGACCTGTTCAAAAGACTCATCCATGCGTCCATGGACCCTAGAGGGTTAATATTTTGATTTGAATGTATTGATTTTTGATAAACTGGGGAGAGGTTTAATAAGGTTTTTTTTTCCTTCTCTTCACTCCATTTTTGAGTGTTAATGTGTAACAACCTGTGGCTGTCACAGCGTCGCATGGTTCCCCACAACTCATTCTCTCAGCCTCCGCCCTGATTGCAATTACTTGCGCACCTGTGCACACTATTTCACCCCGCCTTCAGGAACTGCTGAGTCTTTCATTTCCTCTGCGAGCAGCAGCGTGGTGCGAAGGAGCTGGAAAACGTAAACAATCCGACCCTTCAAAAAGTTGTTTTACCAACCAATGAGGTTGTTAACCACTCTATTCAATTCACATTCAATTCAAAAATACTTTATTAGTCCCAGAGGGAAATTGATTGCTGTAGTAGCTCAGAATAATAATAATAATCAAGTCATCAAAGAGTTGTTGTATATTACAATGGCTGTTGGCAGGATGGATCTCCAGTAGCGGTCAGTGTTGCAGCCAAACTGAAGAAGCCTCTGACTGAAGACGCTCTTCTGTTGTCGGACAGTCTTGTGAAGAGAATGCTCAGGGTTGTCCATCATTTTCTTGATTCTCTGAAGAATCCTTCTTTGCATTATATCCTCCAGTGGTTCCGAAACTGCCGAAACTCTGGCTGAGTCCTTGAAAGGGCTTGGAATTCATCCATCTTGTTGGCCAGTGATCTCACATTGCCCATTATGATCGATGGAAGAGATGGTTTGAATTTCCTCTTTCTCTGTCTCCGTTTTGCTCCCGCTCTGCACCCACGCTTCTTACATTTTAGCTCATTTGGGATTTGTGGCTTCAGTTGAGGTATTATTTCAGCCTTTCCAATGTTAATCAGCTGGTCCCGATTGTAAACCAGCTTGTTGCCATGGTTACACATCATAACAAATGCTCAAATTCCTATGGTAGGAATCTGACCTTAAAAGACAGAAGGAAACCTAAAAACGACTTTTAACTTTCATTATTGAACGCAGCCGTCATCGCCAGGACGCCGCTTCACATCTTCAAACCGACAGCAGACGAATGAAACTTACTTTCATTTGACTGCCAGCTGAAGATATCCTCACATCCTGCAACCAAACCTTCTAAACTGAAACCATTGTGTGTCCTACTACTCCTCATTGGGTTCCTCAAATCACCCTTTCAACTCCTTTTTACTACGTAAAACAGAATGTTACGCCTGTCTCCTGATATCTGGATGAAGAACAGGAATAAAATGGACCTGTGGAAAAACTACAATTCAAGGCTGTTTCTTTGAACTTATTTATTGGTAGAGAAATTTTTTTATGGGCTGTAATTTTATTTAAAGGGTAAATGGCTGGTAATATATGTCCTTGAGTGACAGCTTTATTTAGTTATTTTCTTGATGATTAAAAATCCTACTTGGGTTCTTTTTCAGGATAAAAAGTCTGTGGAAAGCACTTGCCTCTGTTTTGCAAGACTGGTAGACAACTTTCAACATGAAGAGGTATGTTTTTCTGTTTGTATTTGAACTTCTCTGTCAGTAGTTTGTGGTTTTACCATCTATCAATAAATTGGGTTCCCATCCAGTGGTAAACGTGTAACGTTGCCTGCGTTTGATTCAACAGAACCTGCTGCAGCAGGTGGCATCCCGGGACCTGCTGACCAACATCCAGCAGCTGCTGGTTGTGACTCCTCCTGTTCTGAGCTCCGGGATGTTCATCATGGTTGTACGCATGCTTTCGTTGATGTGCTCCAACTGTCCGAGCCTGGCGGTCCAGCTTATGAAACAAAGTGTGTGCTCCACATATTGGTGTATTTTTTTTCTCATTTTTTATTACCTGGAGTAAGAAGAGAAGATGTTACTATGAGTGCTTTTTAAACAGATCTTGTGTTTTTCCCTCCTGTGGTTGCATTCTGACATCAGCTGAATACATTGTTGTGAAAATGTCATTAACAGTTTACTCTTCATCAGCGCTTTTTGGTTTTCAGGGCATTTTTACTCTACTTTGTGTCCAGTTAACAAATATCCATAGGAATTGTTTAAAAGGGCGAATAAACATGAATGTTTTTGTTTTCTGAACAGACATAGCAGAAACTCTCCGTTTCCTCTTGTGTGGTGCCTCAAACGGCAGCTGCCAGGAGCAGATTGAGCTAGTTCCCAGAAGCCCCCAGGAGCTCTATGAACTGACCTCCCTCATATGGTAAAGTCTCAGTCTTTAGGTCATGCTCGACAGTGTGGTAAAAGTGGAATTTTTGGGATTTAACTTTAAAATTATGCAAACTGAGATTTAGAAAATCTTATTCCATGTTGATTTAAAGTTAGTTTATCTTAAACCACTCAATGATCCTTCACTCATACATGTGCCTGGAACAATGTCCTTGAACATGAATCATTGAAATAAAAGAAAAATTAGCTTTACTCTTCATCGCTTAACTAAAATTAAACAAATTTTTTGTAGCTTTCTGAAATCACTCCTCTGTTCCCCTCCTGTTCAGTGAGCTGATGCCCTGCCTTCCCAGAGAGGGCATCTTTGCCGTTGATGTAATGCTGAAAAAGGGCAGCGCCCAAACAACAGAAGGTGCTATCTGGCAGTGGAGGGATGACCGGGGCCTGTGGCATCCTTACAACCGCATTGACAGCCGCATCATTGAGGTAAAAGTCCCTTCACCTGCAAGTTGGGTGTTTCAGAACCCCAGCAGCCGTAATTATTGCAAGTATGAAAATTTTACCGTCTGTTTGATCGCAGACGGCCCATCAGAACGGGGAAGATGAGATCAGTTTGTCGACTCTGGGCCGTGTGTACACAATTGACTTCAACTCTATGCAGCAGATAAATGAAGATACAGGTACAGCACGTGGTATCCAGAGGAAGCCTAATCCTCTTGCTAACCCCAATACAGGTAATGCAGGTCTTTGCCAATTAGGTTTGTGTGAATGTGTTTTATTTTAGAAGAAACCAAAAACACTTGGTGGGGTTTTTTATTTTATTTTGGATGGTCTTACGGTGATTGCACGTTGATTCATTTAAATTTAGATGGGAAGTCTGAGACTGTTTAGTTTTTTGAACAATTGTACTGAAATACTCGTGTAATGAAGGCACATTTTCACTGAAGCAGATGCATTTGGTAATGAAGTAGAAAGATCTGAGTTGAGTTCTCCTATTCAACTCTGTACATTTATGTGTCAACGGTGTTCTGTTGCAGCCTCCACCCGGCTGAGCTGTTGCAGTTGGGCTGAACAATCGTTTTCAGTTGAAATTAGCGATTTCAAGACTTGGAGACCAAATCTCTCGTTTCCTGCAACAACAGAAAACAACTTACCGTAATAACACTGTGGAATTAAAAGTGCACCGTTATAAACCGTTTTTTTCTGATTGCACAAACTGTTGGGGAGTCGATGTAAATCCAGTTAGCACATGAAATGCGTCATCGTTTGGGGAACATTGTGTTGAAGCTGGATTTAAAGAAAATTAGAGTAGAACTGAAACGGCAATTTCTGAAAAATCGTAATTCAGTCTTTATTCCTTAAATCGTTCAGCCCTACTCAACAGCAGCATTCTATGGGACGATCCCAATCTGAAATATTCCTGGCTTTCTTTTAGGGAGTCACCAAGAGGTCCGTCGAGAAGATGCACGAGCCCAGTTGATGAAGGAGGATCCTGAACTGGCCAAGTGCTTTATTAAAACACTGTTTGGGGTCTTGTATGAGGTGTACAGCTCATCAGCTGGCCCTGCCGTTCGACACAAGTGCCTTAGAGCCATCCTCAGGATCATCTACTTTGCTGATGCAGAGCTGCTGAAGGATGTGCTGAGGAACCATGCTGTGTCCAGGTAATGGCACCACTTTCACTCCCTCAGGTTCAACTGTTAGAGCTCGACGCGGCCTTTGAACTCAAATTTATTAGGCCAAAGAAATTATCAATGGGGCTAAATTAAGCACTCCTTTGAATGTGATTTTAAGTGTTTGTTGGTTTAATAAAAGTCTAAACTTAAAAACATCTGTGGTTTTCTCTCTGGCAGTCACATTGCCTCCATGCTCTCCAGCCAGGACCTGAAGATTGTTGTAGGTTCTCTGCAGATGGCTGAAATTCTTATGCAGAAGCTCCCCGATGTCTTCAGTGTCTATTTCAGAAGAGAAGGTACTGAAACCTCTGCAACCAATTCCGGCTTTGAGGAGCCGTGCCAAAAGGAACAAAACTCACAACATTCCATAGCGATCTTAACTTTTGTCCTTAACTTCTCTTTCAGGCGTAATGCACCAGGTGAAGAACCTCGCTGAGTCGGAGAGCTTTCTTGTCACTAGTCCCCCAAAAGCCTGCTCTAGTAGTACTACTAGTCTCTGTACTACGACTATCAGTAATGCATCCACAACGTCTGCTAACAATGCAGCTCCTGACTTGGGCTCTCCCAGCTTCCAGCACACTATGGATGACTCCCTGGACCTCAGCCCACAAGGGTGAGTGAGATGGCTCATGCAGCTTTCTGTAAAAACATGTTTTTAAACATGCGTAAAACACAGCTGAAGTAAAGGTGGGTGATATGGGGGAAATAAATTCATATCACAAATTTGTTTTTACAAAATCACAATCAGTTTTATCATGATTTTTTTTCTATTTTGACAATTCAGATGTTTTTGAAATTATTCATCATTAAAATACATCAATTTAAAGTCATACCCCTTCACAGAAAATAGGATAAACGATTTCAGAATCGTAAAAAAATATTAAAATTCCATTCCATCCATCTATATTGTTAAGAGTTAGAGATACATGTCTCAAATGCCCCACAGGCACTTTCATTTAATTACATATTTATAATTAATGTAAAATAATTTAAATTCTATCTAGAGGTGGCTCATATCCACAATGTTACCAGTAATATTTTCTTGTCCAGAGAAAAATTTCTATCATGTTAAGCTAAATTCATGATGTATCCTCATCTCATGCACTCTCTAGTTAGGATTACACTCCCTATTACACTCACTGTTTGTCCCTCACTGCTCTCCGTAGCTGTTTCCTGATTACGTGGGGTTTGGCATAAACAAAGCCCCGGTCAGCAGCCACGGTTAAAAGGCTCACTAAAACACACACAAACGTCTCCAAATAATAAAAGCCACAAAGCTAAACTCAATGTTTAGATCAGAACATTGACTCAGAGGTTCCCTGATTGAGCAGACATGTGAGAATACACTTAATGACTGCTTAGAGACGGAGCAAGTTAGTAGCTAATGCTAGCAGCTAGCCGCTATAATCGAGTACGGTGTGTTTCTTCAAAGTTTCATAATCACTTATGTCCGCATCTTAATGCATTGATTGTTAGGTTATTTACTTCAGCTCTAAACACGCTGCCTTAAACTTGCTCTTGGTGTGTCTGTCGTGCCGACAGAAGCAGACAAAAGATAACGCGACTCAGCTGAGAAAAAATGTGCTGGTAGAGGCGTCCATAAATAATAGCACAGGTGATAGAACGTAAATAGACGGTTCTGCGATCTCCGAGCTTTTGGTAGATCGTCATCACTTTATAATCCTTAACGATCCTGTATCGTTAGATCGCACAGCCCTACGTTGAATCTCAATCTGTTAGCAGTTAGCTGTTTATACAACAAGCAAACAAACCCCAAACTTGCTGCAGAAATTCTCTTTTATACAATAATAATTTTTGTCTCTCCAAGGCGGTTAAGCGATGTTCTTAAGAGAAAACGACTTCCAAAAAGAGGACCCAGAAGACCCAAATACTCCCCACCAAGAGATGACGATAAAGCTGACAATCAGGGTGAGTGGTGTTATTTTAACATTCCCACGTTCAGAAATAGAGATGACATTTTTGTTTAAGATGCCTCCTACCTAAAACCCAGAATATTGTGCTCGAGTTTCTAAATTTTTAATCGATTTGTTTAATGGTCTTTGCAGCCAAGAGCCCTACCAGTACTCAGTCACCCAAGTCATCCTTCCTGGCCAGCCTCAATCCTAAAACCTGGGGAAAACTAGGTGCTCAAACCAACAACGCCAACTCCGAACCATCACGCACAGCTGGAGTAAGTGGCCTGGCAAGAGCGCCTCCCAAGGACTCGATTTCAAACAACAGGTACAACAGTTCAATGACGAAATAACGTTGCTAGTCTCATATTAGTACACTTATTAAATGTTTTATCACATTTTTTTGTTTTGCATTGCAGAGACAAAATAAAAGCCTGGATCAAAGACCAGGCAAGTAAATTTGTGGAGCGTTACTTTAACTCTGAAAATGTGGACGGCAGCAACCCCGCGCTGAATGTACTCCAGAGACTTTGCACAGCCACTGAGCAGCTCAACATACAGGTAAGACACTCGTTCCATTGAATGCACACATCACTGAACATACATGTGATGTTAGAGAAGAAGTAAAACAAAGGTTTTTAGAGGTTTTTATTCCTAGAAAATGATTCAGTTGTATAAAAAGGGAAGTTGATATTCTCGAACCGTTTATAGGAGGAATGAGAAATCTGAGGAATTATCCGGCTTTAAAGGATGTGGCTGTAATACAACTTTAGAGAAGGGTCATGGTGGGATATAATGTAGACATATTTATCTGATCTGATGTTTTTAACTCTTCTTCCATTCGCATAAACACCATATTTGTAACATTTTCATATTTTAAATAGGACAGGGTGATATCTCAAAGGTGTTTAGCTTTGTTCCACGAGATGTGATAAAGGATTATACTGCAGCCAGAAAATGGGTGCATGGTGGCACTGTTGCCTCGCAGATACTCTGGTCTCCTCCCGTAGACCAAAAAACAAGCATGCCGAGTTAATAAACTGCATTGATTAATCTACAGTTGTAATAAACTGCATTGATTAATCTACAGTTGTAATAAACTGCATTGAGTAATCTGCAGTTGTAATAAACTGCATTGATTAATCTGCAGTTGTAATAAACTGCATTGATTAATCTGCAGTTGTAATAAACTGCATTGATTAATCTACAGTTGTAATAAACTGCATTGATTAATCTACAGTTGTAATAAACTGCATTGAGTAATCTACAGTTGTAATAAACTGCATTGAGTAATCTGCAGTTGTAATAAACTGCATTGATTAATCTGCAGTTGTAATAAACTGCATTGATTAATCTGCAGTTGTAAATCACTCTGGATTAAAGCACCTGCTAAATACAAGCAACCTAACAAATGTAAACATGTCAATTTTTGTTTTCCTCACTTGTTTCACTGGGAGTTTAGTTTCTCTCCCAATCTTCCAATGTCCCACTAACAGCAGAGACCCCCCCCCCCCCCACCACCACCACCACCACCACCACCCCCACCCACCCACCCACACACACACACACACTCTGAGGAAACTCTCCTGTATGCATGGTGTTAGTGTACCGGAGCAGGGATTATAGCCACAGTGACCACATGCGTCTCCATGGACATGCCTTCACAGTGCTGTGGAATACAGCAGATTATTTTATTTTCTTCAATATAGGATAAGCGGTACCTGTGGGCTCCTAGTTCACAAAGATGTTACCACTACATGTTTTTATTAACTGACATAATCTGCCACATTTCTTTTTATTTTATTATGTTTTTTTAATGTTTTGTTATAAATCCAAACATGATGAAGCAGCAAAAAGGTTGCCTCAATCATTTTGTAGTGCCCTTTTCAGGGTTTTGTTACATGCATGTATTTTTATTTTGTTTTGTTTTTGTTGTACGTCAGCCCTTAGAAACCAGGTCACAGAAGGAAGATGTAACAGCTTATGAGTACAGCTGCATAATAAAAAAATAGTATTGAAGTTTAGCTGTTGAGATAATTGGCTTACAAATGGGTTATAACCCTCAGTGAAATCCAAACACAAACCACAGAAAGAATAGTGTTTATATTGTGTGTATTGTTTATTACACAGCAGAGCTGAGGTATTTCTGTTATGGTTTCTCAGGTGGATGGTGGTTTGGAGTGTCTAGAGGAGATCTCCATCATTGTGTCAGAGTCTGATGTGTCATCTTTTGAGATCCAGCACAGCGGACTGGTGAAACAGCTGCTGGTCTACCTTACCTCCAGCTCAGATAGAGACTTGCTGAGTCGTGATGTGCGGCTGAAGAGGTTCCTCCACGTGTTCACCGGCTGTCCGGTAAGTAGAAATATCTAGACTGTGATTTACTTAGATCTGTTTTAATACATGGTGTTTTACCTTCACTCTGTGGTTTGCAGGTTCCAGGAATGGAGCCATTAGGTCGTATGGATCCTACAGAGAATGCACCTTACATGGCCCTTGTGCACAAGATGAACAGCTGTCTGAGCCAAATGGAGCAGTTCCCTGTCAAAGTGCACGACTTCCCTAGTGGCAATGGCAATGGCAGCAGGTTGGTGATTCAACACAAATCTTAGTTTACTCTTCTGCAGGTCATCTCTGTGGTCTACCGTGTTTTAAACTCTGATCGATTTTTTTTTCTTCTTCAGGGGATCTCAGGCTCTGAAGTTTTTCAACACACATCAGCTCAAGTGTCAGCTGCAGAGACACCCAGACTGCACTAATGTTAAACAGTGGAAAGGTGGCCCTGTGAAGATTGATCCCCTCGCCCTGGTGCAAGCTATCGAACGATACCTCGTGGTCAGAGGTGAGTAACTTGGTTACTTTTCGTTGTAGATGTAAGAAAATATCGATATGGTAATATATCGCAATTTTTTTTCCTGCGACATATTGATATTCAAAAGCCGTGTATCGAAATTTTGGAAGAATTTACATCAATAATCTGGAATTCCTTTCTCTGCAGGATACGGACGAATTAGGGAAGAGGATGAAGACAGTGATGATGACGGTTCAGATGATGAAATAGACGAATCCCTGGTAAGTTTTTATACACAGTCATTTGAATCTGCATTTGAGCTCATTAGTTAATGCAGCACTGGTCGTTCTGCGATCTTTCAGGCAGCACAGTTCCTCAATTCTGGTAGCGTGCGTCACAGACTACAGTTCTACATAGGAGACCACCTGCTACCATACAACATGACCGTTTACCAGGCTGTTCGACAGTACAGTCTCCAGGCAGAGGAGGAGAGAGAGTCAACAGATGATGAGGCAAATCCACTCGGTAGAGCTGGAATCTGGACCAAAACACACACGATATGGTAAAAAAATATAATTTTACATATTTATTGGTTCTATCATCACCCAAATATCACATTTAAGTTTTAAATGTCAGTTTAGGTTTTTGGACGGGGATGCTGGTACTTTTTCCACACAGACTTGCTGCATCTTTTTAAAAGTATTTTATTTATTTAAACCGGGAACATTGTGGCTCCAAGTGTGAAGCTCAAGAAGTCTTCAAAAAGCCATTAAGATACAAAATGTTCTGTGCTGCTATTTAACAGGTATAAGCCTGTGAGAGAAGACGAGGATGGCAGCAAAGATGCTGTGGGTGGAAAGCGAGGCAGAGCTCAGACAGCTCCCACCAAAACCTCACCACGCAACGCCAAGAAGCAGGATGAGCTGTGGCATGGTGAGAACGCCAAAAACCCTCAGTACTACCGAGTTTAAAACATTAGTTCTGTTGCTGGGATGCAAATTTAAACCAAACATGTGGTTGGTCGCGTTGGCATCATCTCTTCCTGATTTGTTTTGTCCCAGATGGTGTATGTCCTACCGTCACCAGTCCCTTGGAAACATACCTCACTACAGAGCCACCAGAGACCATAACCTTTGATGATCCTTCCTTGGAGGTCACCCTGCTGCTGAGGGTCTTGCAATCCATCAGTAGATACTGGTTCTACTTATATGAAGTAAGTCACTGTAATGATTTAAATTACATGTTATTTAATAAGCCATAAGGCGTAGGATTCCATAGTAAATATGAAATCAACCTTATGGATCTGTGAGGTTGTTTTGATCCAGAAGATTGGAATTTTTTAATGCAGGGATTAGATAACAGCTTCGTATTCACTCAGAGACAACAGAAGAGAGAGTCAAGTTTAAAAGTTTAAAAATGTATTACTAAACAAATTAAACTAGACTAACTCTAAACACTAAATGTATGGTGTAACTAAGGTGAATGAGACGGTGAATGGGGTGAGGTGTAATGTTGCTCAGAACCGGCAAATCCGAAGAAGCGATTAATTCTGATGGGAGCTGAAGGTGATGTTTTTGCGTTAAGCTTTGATTAGGAGATTCATAAACACATTCAACGCCATTTGTCGGCCTACCCTTAGCAGAAGTCCCCGTTAGATCAGGAATGTCGAGGTCCAGCTTGACCTTCTCTGGAACCAAAGCCGGTAGGAAAAGCAGCGGTTGCCGACCAGACCAGTCTTTGAGATACTTCCGGGTCATGACAATTTTGTTGGCGTCTGGTGAGACCCAAACCTGGGTCTCGATGGTTCAGCTTTTATTCTGAAAGGAACCGTTGCAGCAGTTGGAACAGCAAGGAATTTTCCAGCTTGTTTTTGGTTCTTTCGGTTGAAGAGGAGAGTTACGGATTGGCCACTCTGACAACTTCTCTAGAACGCTTTGAACTGGCGTTAGAGATGACGTGGCATAGTTTTATACTTCGGATGTTTTGGTTTATGGTCGAATGAAAAGGTGACAGATTTTCCAAACACCACCAAAACCACGCCTCCGTCAGATCTGGCAGATTCTGATTGGATCAGTGAATGTGTCATGTCTTTTAACGCTACGTGAAATCAGTCCTGTTGGAACATTTAAAGTCATAGTACCTTTATATTCTATAGGATTATAATAAAGTAATAAATATTTAGATTTCACAGATTGGTCACATCTTATTTATTGACTAACACTTTGCTTGATTAGCTTTATTAAAAATAGAATTCTTTGATTAATTAAAAGAAAAGAGTCCATTCTTCATTCTTCTGTTGAGCTGAAAAGAAGCAGGTTAGAAGCGAATGCATGAGACCTTGAGGCCATATTTCATGCAGACTAGTTCTGTGCAGAGGAGAGGGGCAAACAGTCATTTCATTCCGTTACATCACCCTCTCACAACACAAATGAATAGAATCATAGATTTACAATCTCTAATTTATTGTGAGAACCTCTGGTGATTAATGTCCTAATACAATCTTTATTTTTTGTAGAATGCCGTGTGTAAGGAAGTGATTCCCACCACAGAGTTCATAAACAGTAAATTGACTGCCAAAGCCAACCGTCAGCTTCAAGACCCACTGGTCATCATGACGGGGAACATTCCTACCTGGCTTATTGAGCTTGGAAAGACCTGGTAAGTGTTTCCGTAGTGCCGAGTGAAGGGAGGAATGGGAAAATTGTCTTCTAGCGATAACTCTGTGCAGTGTTCACACAGACGAGGGTTATTTTGTCTCTGCAGCCCTTTCTTCTTCCCGTTTGACACCCGGCAGATGTTGTTCTACGTAACTGCCTTTGATCGAGACAGAGCCATGCAGCGCTTGCTGGATACAAACCCTGAGATCAACCAATCAGACTCTCAGGACAGCCGAGTTGCACCACGCCTTGACAGAAAAAAGGTGATAGTTGCTCATTGACATTCTATGTCTGACCAGCCATTGGCCTTCTCATTTACTTCAGCTTATTTTTGCAGAGAACAATAAACCGCGATGACCTCTTAAAACAGGCAGAGTCTGTAATGCAGGACCTTGGCAGCTCCAGGGCCATGCTGGAGATTCAGTATGAGAATGAGGTATGTTTCTAGGTTCTGCACTAGGAGAAACCCCTGAAAACATCTGTATCACAATCATTTCTCTTCCTCCAGGTGGGTACAGGTCTTGGTCCCACTCAGGAATTTTACGCTCTGGTATCCCAGGAGCTTCAGAGGGCAGATCTTGGTCTCTGGAGGGGCGAAGAGGTTACTCTTTCCAATCCTAAAGGTACCACCCTCTGTGCTGTAAACTGAAGCAGCACATGTTGAACATGGCTTATGTTCACACACTAGTACAACCACAATGTGGAGATGTTTTTAGACAATCAAAGACTTTTATGTTTTTACTGAAAGTCCTGCTGGTGTTTTCTGGGGTTTTAACCTGACTGACAGGTTGGAGTAGTCTTGAGACTAAACTGAAATCAGATCTTTTGCTCATTTAGATGAAAACAAATTCATGACAGTGTAGCGTCATCTTTAACTGTGCTCGTCATAGAATGTGTTCACTGATCAGATATTGGTGAAACTTCATGAATCACATGCATTTTAAGTGTTGAAGATCCCTGGAATGGAGTTTTTTCCCTAAATATTCTTGCAGTTTAACTTTAGTTGTTACCCGTGACCTTCCACAGGAAACCAAGAGGGCACCAAGTACATGTTCAACTCCAGAGGACTGTTCGCCGTTCCCTTTGGTCGGACAACTAAACCAGCACATATAGCCAAAATCAAGATGAAGTTCCGTTTCTTAGGAAAGTTAATGGCCAAAGCCATCATGGACTTCAGACTGGTAAGGACTTCTGTTATCTGCTTTTATTTCCTGTTTTTCTTTGAAAACTTTTTCTTCTGATGTGAAACTGTTGGGTCTGAGTTGGTGATTAACACCGCTACTGTGCTGTAAACATCCTCCTCCTCTTTCCCAGCTGGATCTGCCGTTGGGACTTCCTTTTTATAAGTGGATGCTGCGGTATGAGATGTCTATAAGCTCTCATGACTTGACCAACATTGATCCTGGCGTGGCCAAGTCCATCCAGCACCTAGAGGACATCATCCGTCAGAAGAAGAGGTTGGAACAAGACCGATCACAGGTAAAAGATCATCTGATTATGCTCTTTCCATAATGATTCCTTATTTCTCCACCACATTTTCCTCAGGCTGTAAACCTTAACTAGCTGTTAACCCGAGCTTTTGTTCTGTTCAGACTAGAGAAGCCCTACAGATGGCCCTGGAGAGCCTGAACATGAACGGCTGCTCAGTGGAGGATCTGGGTTTAGACTTCACTCTTCCAGGATTCCCAAACATTGAGTTGAAAAAGGGTGGAAAAGATGTCCCAGTCACCATCTACAACCTTGAGGAGTACCTCAGGGTATGTGGAGCACTTTTTACTGCCTCTCTGTTACAAAACTACTGTATTGATGCTATTTTTCCCTCTTACTCTCTTTTGTCCCCTTGTAGTTGGTGGTGTACTGGACTTTGAATGAAGGAGTGTCGAGACAGTTTGAGTCATTCAGGGAAGGGTTCGAGTCAGTCTTCCCCTTGCATCACTTACAGTATTTCTATCCAGAGGAGGTGAGGAACTCTCTGCTCTTACTTCATTTAAAAAAATTCTCATTTTCAGTTTTTGTCTAAAATAATCAGGACTATAGTTGCAGATTAGTTTAATCTGTTAATTCATTGTGTCTCCGTGTCTCACAGCTGGACCAGTTGCTGTGCGGCAGTAAATCAGAGACGTGGGATGTCAAGACGCTGATGGAGTGTTGTCGACCAGATCATGGATACACCCATGACAGGTGACTTATTTTATTGTAACTCTACCAGTGAGAGAAAAACATCACCTTAAAAGCAGGTGATTGCTGTATCCAAATTCAGGAGTAGCTTCCTTGTGAGGATCCGTCCTACCCGGTCCCTGTAGGTCGGGTCCTTTCTCCAGCACTAAGACTGGAACTGAGCAGCTGTAAAGTTTGAAGGTCTGGCCTTAATATTTATTCCCGCCCGCCCCTACCTCAAATGTCATGTTGCCTAGCAACGGTGACAGGTGCTAAAACGCAGTTAAAACTAAACTTAGTGGCAGTACATGGAGAAATACGGGACCCGTTATACGAGCTTGTTTAAATGGATTATTCTTATTTTTGACAAATGTATTTAAAATGCAAATATGCAAAAGAACAAAGTTTTAACAGATTTTTTACTGCCAGATATAATGTATGGACATTCAGAACTAATCGTCTCCTTGTTTGTCCACCATTAGAACAAACCTCTCCCGGTGAATCCTGGGATGGCTTCTGCCAATGAACACCAGATTCGCCCTTAAAATCAGTGTTCTGTTTTTGTGATGAATGAATTTTTGCAAACAAAACGAAAACCTACGTTTGTACTTCTATGAAGTCTAAATTATGACAAATCAACATTTTCATCGACAAATAAGACAAAAAAATTGACAAACAAAAATCCAATCAGAAAACAGAAAAGATGGGAGAATGGGGGAAAAAGAACCAATCAGCAAATGGAACAGGTGGGACTAGGCGAGAAAAGAACCAATCAGAGTCCAGAGCCGGCCGCTGTTTGAACAACCTACCGGTAACCACAGACCTCATATATTGATGTCTGTGCAGACATCAGTTGAATAAGTTATGTCTAAAAGGAGAAAATGCTCACGGCTGGGAGGAAACGCATTAGATGGATTTGTTTGGTGAGCGCACATCCGGGGTTTCCCTGGTTTTAAAAGTGTTATGTGGTTTATGTGGTAGCAGCGAGCAGGGGCGGAACCAAACATGCGGAGAGGCACATCTAGTTGTTTTCGTGGTGCTGCTTCAGCCGATATTATCAACGTTCCTGTGCTACTGGTGTTTTTGTATGGGGGGAAAAAACTTTCACCGTGGTAAATGAATGCAGGGAAAACTAATAAATACACATGAAAACAAATCTTACCTTCTTGCCTTATTAGGGCCAGAATATACTTGCTTTCTAGCGACGGCTAGGCCTGTTTCAATTTTCTCTCACCTAACTTAAGTAGATTCGAAGCGTCGCACGCAGCAGTTTACGAGTAACCGGTAGGCGGAGTTAACAAAATGAGCTAGACACGCACCATGGTCTAGCTGTCTTTTATTTAGCTCTTTAACCTACAGCCAGTCTGGTTAAAATCCACACAGTTGACCTCTGTGAGTTGGTTGACTTTTTAAACATTTCATGTTAATTTGCTGCTTCTCATGTTTTTAGTCGTGCCATTCGGTTCCTGTTCGAGGTGCTGAGCAGCTTCGATGCCGAGCAGCAGAGACTCTTCCTGCAGTTTGTCACAGGAAGTCCAAGGCTGCCCGTTGGAGGTGAAGAGAAGTTTCACTATTTAAATTCACCTAAACGTGGTTATTCATTCACTCACCTGGGCCTTGTCATTGTTGGTCAGGTTTCCGGAGCCTGAACCCTCCCTTGACAATTGTGAGGAAGACATTTGAGTCGACGGAGAACCCGGACGACTTCCTCCCTTCAGTCATGACCTGCGTCAACTACCTGAAGCTGCCTGACTACTCCAGCATAGAGATCATGCGAGAGAAACTGTTGATTGCTGCTCGCGAGGGCCAGCAGTCCTTCCACCTTTCCTGATCTCGCCACATCTCACATTAAAATGCCTTCTACAGCGACTGATGAAATCATTACTTCCTTAGTTTTTTGTAATCTCATACATGAAGGCTATTGACATGGCCTTGTTAGAGGAAGCAGCTTGCAGAAAACTTCAGACTTTAAATATATATTTGCTGCCCTGTCTCTCAAAAAATATATTAAAAAAAGGTTAAAAAAACAGGAAAGTTGTTCCATGACTCAAGACTTCAAATATAAAAAAAGAGAAAAACTTATATCAGTATATGAGTAATGTTAAAAAGATGAAAACATCTGGGTGACATTTTAAATTGCATTGCAATGTGATATTTAAAAAAAGGGATGTCTCCTCTGCAGAGTGGTGGACAACTTACTGGGTGTTGGGGAGGAAATGGGCGGGGGGAGGGTTCATTGAGCAAGCTAGGTTTACTTTAGCTCCAAAGATCATTTGTACAGACAAATTTGCAGACTTTGCTCATTCTACACATTTGATAGGATAGTTCTTTGTTTTCATGTCTTTTCTCAGTTCACCACTTGGCATTCTGGTCTGTATTATATTGGCCCCGGATTGTGTGTTGCATTTTGGTTCAGCTTCCTCCCCCCTCGTGTGTGTCTTGTGAAAATGACTGCTGCAGTTGGTTGAATCAGGTAGTGTTGATCATATTATTTTTCCTGTTTTTCTGCCCATCTACCCCGGTTGAGATTGCATTCTGGCCTCCTCCTAGAGAGCTTCAGCTTAAATAAAAATTGTAACCAGTGTGTTGATTAGGTGAATTTGTTTTGTTCCGACTTTGATGGAGTTGGCGTCTTTCTGTTTGGCCCTACCGGACCTGTAGGGTAATCTTGTTAGACCAAACTCTTGAGCACCCCCCTGGACACACAATGTAGCTGGGCACAAAATTTGGCTGGTCTCATTTTATCGTTTCATGGCCAGATAACATTTCAAGTTCATTTATGGAATAAAGTATATATGCAGTTTCACACCCTGTTTGAGGTGGGAATGTCTGCGTTACCTTTTTTAATTTTAATTTTCTATATTGTATATTTTTTTTTTCCTCCTTGCTGTAGTTTATTTTTTTCTCTGCACTGCTGGCTTGGAACAAACCGTGGTGTGCACTTGCAGTCTGTGGCCAGGGGAGGGCGCCACTATGCTTTCCTGGCCCAATCGTTCATGTGCTGGTTTCTAAGATCTGCAATAATTTACTGCATCAGGTTCTTGTTTTTACCTGAACATAAATAAAGTAACTGTTTGACTGATATTCGCTTTTAGTTTGATTTCTTCATCTTAATTAGGTTCATTTGAGCTCGTCCACTGAAGACGGTATGAAATATTTTAAACCATTTTTTTGGTACAGTTACTATGGTAACAACTTCTGGCAATGTTTAATATTTTTTTACCACAGTTTCAAAACTGCACAAATAACCAGCACCAGGCTGTGATATATCGGCTGGCTGATAGATCAGTTGATATTAATGTCAGACCTTTGATTGCCAGTATACCTCTTTAGTAGAGCCAATTATAAGTTGGGCACATCTGTGGGCAGCCTGGTGCTGCTGCCAAATTTTATTTAAATGTACACTGCCTGACCAAATAAAGTCACAGCCAAAATGGAAGATCACATGCTCTTAGACTGCCTTTAGCGTTAATCGCGAAAAAAATTCGCTGTGGCGTTGTTTCGATGAGCTGCAACGCCACAAGATTTATTTCCATTAATGTGTCCCCAAGATCTTACACCGATGATGGTAGCATCTGACAGCTGCTCAAAGCCTTCACCAGCACATCCTAAAGATTCTCAATGGTGTCCAGGTCTGGACTCTGGTGGTCAATCCATGTGTGAAAATGATGTCTCATGCTCCCTGAACCACTCTTTCACTATTTGAGCCTGATGAATCCTGGCATTGCCATCCTGGAATATGCCCGTGCCACCAGGGAAGATGGAATAACCTGGTCATTCAGTATATTCAGGTAGTCAGCTGACCTCATTCTTAGAGCACATCCTGTTGCTGAACCTAGACTTGACCAACTGCAGAATCCCAGATCATAGCACTGCCCCCACAGGCTTGTACAGTAGGCACTAGGCATGATGGGTGCCTCACTTCATTTGCCTCTCTTTTTACCCTGATGCACCCTCACTCTGGAACAGGGTCCATCTGGACTCATCAGACCAGTTTTTAATGGCTTGGACCGTTCTTAACCCAGTTTTAGTCGTTTCTATAATCTTAGGTGTTTTCTCTGTTTGATGCATGACCCTTCTCAAACAGACTGACATGTTTTCCACCACCACCAGATGGGTCTTCCACATGGTTGTTTAAGAAATAACTAGTTGGGGTTAAATAACATGTTGCCAGCTGAAAGATAACTGCTCATGCAGTATTCCAATAGGAGGCTTGAACCTATTAGCTTTGTTAAATCCTGGTGGCTACTTTTCTTTTGGCTCGGCATATTTACATTCCTGAAAAATATCTGCTTATTGTCAACTGATGTTTCTTTTTATTTACCCATGATATATTTAATACTTGGTCAGTTTATTGATTTGTTTCATTTACTTTGGTAAAACATTTGATTTTAAATTTAAACGGTTAAATTCAACGTTTGAGGTTTAGGTAGTGTTGCTAGCAGGTAAATACTGCAGAAATTGTCTAGTTATCGGTCATCGGCTGACCACAACACCCATGTATCTCAGGCTCTGATTAATTTTATTGATCCCTTGGGAAGGTTCCTCTGGGAAATTCTGTTTTCCAGCAGTAGCAGCATTGACGCACCTAATTGCAATAAAAAAATTAAGACAAAGAACAAGATTGGAGATCCAAGTGGTCAAAATTAATTTTCTCTGCAGGGTGAAGACTGGGCTGGACTCTACCTTAGAAATAGGGTGAGAAGCTTGGTCAATCGGGAGGGGCTTGGTGTAGATCTGCTGCTCCTACACATTGAGAGGAGCCAATTGAGATGGCTTGGGCATCCAGATAGGATGGCCTTCCTGGTGAGGTTTTCTGGGCACGTCCAACTGGAAGGAGACCTAAAGGAAGACCCAGGACACACTGAAGGGACTATGTCTCTAAGGTGGCCAGGGAACTTCGGATTCCCCTGGAGGACCTGGCCCAAGTGGCCGGGGAGAGGGAAGTCTGGACCTCCCTGCTTAGGCTTCTGCCCCCACGACCCGACCCTGGGTAACAGAAGACGATGGATGGAAAATGAACATTATCAATCTGGTCTCATATAATACTCACATTGCACATCATATATAGACATTAATAGTGCTGCATGACACATTCACGTAATTCATCTGTTTATTGCAATGCTTGTAAATTGAAGAGTACATGAAGTTTAGCACATTATGCACCCCTTCTTTCAGCTGGTTTGTCTTCTGTTCCTGTCCCCTTCCCCCCGTGAGGAGCTCCTGTGTCTGTTGTATGGACAATAGAAAATGACAAATCACTCGGCCTCTAATAAGTATGTAGTAATCCGTTTTAACTAGTCCAAGTTCTCCTCTTTAATTACCATCTTTACACAAATGGATTCCCTTGTTTACACAATACATTTTACATTTGTTAACAAAATATAGCTTTCAGTCTTTCTGGACCATAATCCTTCATTTTTCATTCAGTTTCTTACTGCTTTCACAAACATCACTTCCTGTTTCATTTATATTCAAATTTCCATCCGCCTCTTCGCCCAAAGTGTTGGTGATGAAGTGAGGCTGGGCGATATGGCCTAAAATCAATATCACGATATATTGAGGATTTCACCTCGATAACGATAAATGGATGATAACTACAGGTATGCGCAGAGACAAAAGTTGTCCACTAGATGGGGCTGCCACATGCACCACCTTGAGTCACATTTTTATGAGACTCAAGGTGGTACAGCTTCTTAAAGAGACATGAACGCTGCCAACCTACACACATCTTCTCGTTTTTATGATCACATTTGTTGACATGGGAAAAATTATCATGATAAGAGTCAGAAATTTCCATAACGACGAATTTTTGATTTCTTGCCCAGCCCTAAGATGAAGGTGTTTTAGGGTCAATGGGTCACAGAGATCCAGGGTTCTTCATGGAGATGAGTGAGCCCTGCAGGACTCTGCCAATAAGGTCTGGCTGCAGAAAAAACCCCTGAACGACCCAGTCAGAGTCTGGACCTGAACAAAGTAGAGCACCTCTGGGGAGATCTGAAAATAGCTGCAGTGACACACCTCATCCTGCCGACTGAGCTTGAATGTTTGAATGAGGAGAACGAAAGAAACCTTTAAAGGAACTGAAGCTTGCAGAATAATTTCAAGAGTCCTTGAGGGTGTTTCTGTCAGCACTGCTTTAATAAGTGAAGTGATTGCTTTCTAAATGAAAAGGTAATCAATCCGTGTTTCGTTTGTTATAATGAGTGTGCCACTGATTAGAAAATTGGTGGTTTATCTAACATAAATATTTTTTTTAAAACACAGAGTGCATTTTTATTTTTTTTGTTTTTTAGGATTTTCACCCCCACCTTGTTAAATTCAACCTTAAAAAGATGTTCTGGGTGATGATATTCCTAATGAGGAGGATGCACACACTCGCTGAGCAGAGTGTGTGTGAAGGTGATAGGGAGGGGTACGGAGAGAGAGTGTGTGTGTGTGTCGTCAGCAATCATCGTCACCATGACTCTGAGACAGACGAGAACCAATAGCCCTTCCCCTCTCCTCCTCCTGCATCCCTTCTTCCTCTCTCTCAGCCTCGGCTTCATCCGCCAATCAAACAGCTGAGGCTCCGCATCCTCCTCCTCCTCCTCTTCTCACACACACCTCTCAGTTACTGCTGAGCCTAGGCAGCACTAAGCACTTAGCTTGGAGCAAAGACGAGAGGCAGAGAGAAAAAAAAAACACGAGTGCTTCCAGCATGTCAGCGGTTCACCCCTGCCGTCACTCACAGGTGGCATGGAGCTTTGTTTGCCCCCTGCTGCTTCTCCTCCTCCTTCCCAGCAGAAGCATCAAGGCCATCCCTTCTCCTTTCCAGCTGGCTCCGGACACCCCGGCACCAGCTGAGCCCACCCCAACCCAGCCGACACCTCATCCAGACCCGTGCGAAGGACGACCTTGCCTCAACGGGGGGCTCTGCCTGGCCCTTCCTTCTCCCCACAGAATGGGGGATACCTGGGAGTACACCTGCACCTGCAGCCAGGGCTTCACAGGACACAACTGTGAGGTAGGAACCCTTAAGTTCTCAATCCTTTACTTCTTACACTCACTCTGTGTGCAACAACTCGAGCTGACTTTTTAAAACGTTAAACTGATGTTTACTCATTACACTTTATTTATCTATTATTTAATCTTCTCTCATTTTTAAGCCTCCATAGATCACATTCTTATTGTGTGTGTTTATTAATTTTTTTTGGCCTTGAAGCTGTAGAGAAACACACACCACACAAGTGATTTTGCTCTTGTGTCACACAATGGATTAAAATGTAGGTTCTGCTGTTCACGGGTGGCTTTTTAATAGGAGCATGTGTTGTCACTGAGACACAGAGCCGGATGCTGCGTCGCTGTGGCAACAAGAGGGAAGAGCAGCAGCAGGGAGAACCACAATTTAAACTCTCTCTCTTTCTCTCTGTGGAGTGTGTGTGTGTGTGTGTGTGTGTGTGTGTGTGTGTGTGTGAGAACATGTGCATACATCTTTATGAGAGAAATGGATGAACTAAACTTTTTTGCACCCAAACACAAAGCTGAATGAGGTGTTTTACAGTAATCTGAGATTGACGTGATATTTTCCTCCAAAACCTTCAGATGATGCTGCTTTGTGCTGCTCTTCATATCAGAGACTTTGCTCTTAAGCAATGCTACCCAACCATCTGGATGCAAAAGACTCCATCACATTGTGATCCAGTCTTCAATAGAAAAGGTCCCAGTTTTCATCTTAACACCTGGAGATCTGCCCGTAAAGTATTTTATCAGCAGGCCAGATTTATCTTTATGTGCCTTTTCTTATTCAAATTCAAATGTGGCCCTTTTTGTTCTAAAAATGTACTGATAATCTCATAAACCTATTCTGAATGCTCGGGCTTAAAGACCTTGGCTGAGTGTCGGCAGCGCTGGGCCTCTGAGTCATGCTGGGGGTGAATGAGAGCATCTGCCTGCAGCAAGGAGGATGAACGAGAGTCCTGCAGCATCGTCAGGGAGGGTTTCAACAGCAGCATCAACAGGTGGCAGCCATGTTCCCCTTCCCTCCTCCTGCTCCTTTACACATCCATGTTCCTGTTTGGGTGTTAACATGGGCTGATGATGGACAGAATAAATGTATTAAAAAGAGCAGCCATCTTTATTTAGGCTCAGCTCCAGCTTCATGCCTTCCATGCACTCTGAGCTGGGACTGAGGGGAATCATTGATTTTTGGCATACGTCTTTTTTCTTCTCCATGGAAACTAGAGTACCAGTAAGCAAATGGTTCGGTGGAAGACATGAGCTGGTTTGCACCTCCTTGTCCACTGCAGGAGAGTAAACGCTTCTAATCCTTTGCAACATTTTACCACTTGCCGATCTCTCTGGCTCTGTTTTCCGCTGCAGAAACCAAAGCAGTCAAAGACAGCAGAAAAGCGCAGTGTAAAAAGAAAAATCACAATCTTACTGGGTTTGATTAACCACCAGCACATTTTCTTTTGGAGTTCAACACCGCTGGTCTCTCTGTAGCTTATAGCACAAGCCTTTCTTATTCATTATTGAAGCTGTTATTGTTCGCTCTGATGGATTTGGTCTTTCTGCTGTAGGAGTTCAGAACAGCTAGAAAGTTCAAAGGTCAGCTGCTTGGTTTGGCCAGCAGCTCGTTCAAATGGGAGCAGTAAATCATGTCTGAGTTCATCTAAGGATGCATGTTGATGCTGCTCTTTCTGTTCGTTAAGAAAGTGGGATGAGCGGCTGAGATTGCCTCATCTTCATTTAACTCATCTAGCATCTTATTGGGATTTTTTAGCCCCCCCCCCCCCCCCAGGCTCTTGTGGAAGAACAGATTAACGGAGCAGCTTGATATTTTGGGAGCATTTCACTCTCTTGCTGAGAGCTACAGCCTGCAGATGGTTGGATAAGCTTTGTATTAATAAAAAAGAGAGGGGGGTAAAAAAGAAAGGAAAGAAACATGTGCAAACTGCTTGGCTGGCACTTTCTGAAGCTAAAAGCACCAACCTGCCAGTTTCTTTGTTTTACCTCAGCTTTGTGCTGCAACTTGGCCGCATCCCAGTCTCCATGCTCACGGACTCAAATGGAACTCAGTAACATGCTGCTAAATCTGTAAGAACAGATTTAAGCAGCAGCACTTCTCACTGTGAGGGCTCGGAGCTCCCCGCACCCTGATCATTAACTACACGGGCTCTGATGTTCACAACGTAAACAGGGGTAAATGTCACGCTCCCGCCTTCAACAAAATGAAAAGTTTATCTGTTTATTGTTTATTTGTTTAGGCATTTAAAACATAAACCAGAAACTAGTTAATAAATAATCAGGACTGCTGTTTTAAATCCTCTTTATGTGTTTATCTCTTTACAAAACTGGATATATGAGCCAGTGATGATTCAGGACCTTTGAAAGAAAGAAAACTATTCCTTTGCCTTTAAACACATCCTGTTTAATATAACGCATATATGAATCATCTATTTAAATATAAGTGTGTATTACATGTTAGTCATGTTTTAAAGGGGACATATTACGCAAAACTCACCTTTCGCATCCTTTTTTGTTGTCATACGGGTCTCTTCTGCCTCAAAAAACACTCCAAACGTGAAAAAAAAATCTGTCCATCCATTTAGCGTCAGTATTTTGTTTTAGGAATTATGTGCCTAAAACAAGTTGTTACAAAAAGTCTGTTTGTGATGACACAAACTTGGAAATTAGAATAGAACCACCTCTCACATGCAAGAGAGCAGCTAATGGAGGAGCAGCGGCTCTACTCTGAGCCCCTCCTAGATCTACTAGCTTCTCAGCTTATAGCAGCCTGAACTGGGGTTGAGTGGGCGTGGTCAGCTCCAGCTTGTTTTCTTAAAGAGCCCTGAAATGGCTCATTCTGGAAGGTACTGAAACTGTCAAGAATTTAACTGCTGAGGTTCCTGTATGTGAGAAGGTTTTAGTGCAAAGAAGGAGCGACAGTGGCACACAGGAGCTAAGTGCTCGCCCTGTAATCGGAAAGTTGCAGGTTCGAGCCCTGCTCAGTCTGTCTCTGTTGTTGTGTCCTTGGGCAAGACATTTAACCCACCTTGCCTGTTGATGGTGTTCGGAGTTGGGGTATGGCAGACTCACCTATCTCAGTGCGCCCCAAGGACAGCTGTGGCTACAATGTAGCTAATCACCAGCAGGTTGTGAATGGGTGAATGACTGATTGCGTTGTAAAGTGCCTTGGGGGGCTCCTGGTCTCTGGAGGGTGCTATATCATACACAGACCATTTGCCATTTCAAAGAACTTCATAAACATTGCAGTGGTGAGGATGTCGCTACATAATAAAGTAAATGATCAATAAGATGTGATATTCCATACAAATATGAATTATCAATCTGATTGGTCTTTCAATATTTGACTTAATATTACCTTAGGTTCTTTGACTGCTCAAGGAACACACACTTCATATTAATTCAGACAGTGTCAAGTATATACTAGTTTATAAAAATGAATTTAATTCTATCTTTCTACACTAATGAATAAACATGACAAAGTATGAATGAAATGATGGAATGTAAGCTAGTTGTTTGTAGCAAAACCTTGTTAAATATCTGAGAGATCTTGTGATGTCTGGGTTGTAAAATCAGTTTGACTGTAAGCTTAATAAGCTAGAGATTATTCATAAAACCATCCGACACCATCGTGCAGTCTATGTTATCCCTTGTGTGACGGTCGCTCTTGAGTGGTTCGAGGAAGAGGCAGCCTGAGTGGTGAGTTCACCGGACGTCGTGGCTACAGGAAGCTGTAGTGTCTGATATCACTCGCAAGCATGGCAGAGTGGCTTTGAGTCAAAAGAGAGGACGGTTCCAAACGCTTGCTCACCCAGTCGGCCGAACCAGGAGGCGGCGGAGAACTGACCATCAGGAAGTGATCTCTGCTTTTATCAACTGTTGTTGACAACTTTAGACAAATCAGCATTTGATAAGTTTAAAAGGCATTACCAAAGACCTCAGAGGATCACTCCCTCCCTCAGATACTTAGAGAGGTTATTTCTTAGTTAGAAGCACAAATGTTAAACATTAATAAAAAAATCATGAGGTGTGATTATACTGATGGATTTAACAATTAAAATCAAGAAATACTAATCTAGTTTAATTTAAGATATGAAATGAATTATTACAGGAAAAATATTCATTTTAACCCGTTGTTCATTAATGTAGAAGTTTGGACACTTATTCAAACCGTTTGGATTTAAAGAACAAATTGTTCATCCAACAAAATATGATTATACAAAGTTTTAAAGTCATTTAAATGAGAGTCGGGGAAAATAGACTTTATTCAGAGAGTACAAGATAAGAAGTCCTGGTCTTGCAGCCTTAAGGACTCATGATGCACGCAGGATTTGTTAAGAATATTGGCTCAAGTTCGTTTCTTCATATCGGCACCACGGTGTTGACCTGTATGCAGAAGTGTGGCCTGTACAGTAAAAGTGAACTTCTGGTCATCTTTGATAAAAAAGATGACCATTCGGCACACTACAACATGTTTTGTAACATCCAAAGAACTATAATAATAAGTTAATAATATGTATATAATAAGTCATAATATGTTTCCTTTCATTTTTACATAAGTTTGCTTTGGGTCGATATATTTAACTGACAAGGGCTCAAAATCCTCCTCTAATATGAAATCTGCTAGGTTACCTAGATGGCTGAACCCATTTCTACTGGTTTTGAATGTTGACTTACTCCATATAACAACTGGAAAGAGCACCTTTTCCTACCTTGTTTGCAAGAGTAAAGCTATAATAACCTGCTTTTAGGTGTTGCCATGTTGCACTTTTAAAGGGCCAGCCCGCCTCTGTGCCTGAGGGCGATTAAGTTGGGCAATCGAGGCAAAGCCCTAAATGAGTTCTGAATAAATTTATAATCTATTTGAATCAGGCACTGTGCTCCTGAAAAACACACCAGTGTGCTAAGCTGTGTGTTCTGTGTGTTTCATACGAACAGATTTCTGCCCAGAGTCTGTGCCTGGCACCCGCCCAAGTCGTACGCACATATGGATTTGAC